ACAGAGGAATCAAACCCAGGTCGGCCGGGTCGGTTGCATGCAAGGCAAATGCCTTACCCGCTGTGCTATCACTCCAGCCTAATAATAATTATAATTATAATTATAGCTATAATTATAATTATAATAATAAATTTAAGCATGAGGGGAGACTGCTGTTCACTCTCTGAGTTAACATTGGCCAAATGACTGAGTATGTCCCGTCATTCTTCATGGGTAGGTGGTGTCCAGGGAGGAGTTACTGACCAGGCCTGTGATGGCCCTTTTTGGTATTGGAGCTCTGGCCAGTCACAGGTAGTGGGGAGGGGTCTCGCCTTCCTCTGGGTCTGGGCACTGCATGGCATTGCCTAGCACCAATCACCTAAACACCTTCTTTCTTCTTCTCATTTACGCTTTTAGGAGATTCCAAGTCCTATAAGCCACAAGTACAGTTGCAGTGGTTTCTCTCTCCTTACCTGAAGGGCAGCCAAAGCACTCGAGAGACCACGTAGACCTTTGGCTCTGCTTAAAATGGGGGCTCGTGCCATAAAACGATATCACGTTATTAAGTCAGCTAAATGGACCAGGTGATGAAGCCTCGGGCATTGTCACCGTGGGGAAAGATTCCATCCTTCCCCTAAATCCCGGGAGTGGCAGACAGTGAAACCGGTCAGACCTGATCCTAAGTCCCGGTTAGTGACCGGCTCACGGCTCACGGAGTCCCTGACAAAAGCTTTTCTTCCCACGTAGTGAGGATTGTGCCAGACTCTTGCTACAGCCCGTGGCCTGCACTGGGAGTCTCCTGACCCGGGAGGGCAAATGCGCGGCCACTGCCAGGGTCCCCCTGCTGCCCCTGTTGCTTTGCACGGCGCCCCGCGAAGGGCCACCCTTCCCATTCTAATCTCCATGCGTGTGTCAGACGCGCCGGCCCGAATTCCTCTCTTCCACGCCTCTGGCCATCTGCGTACCCAGAGGGGCTGTTCTGGGTCCTCCTCGTCTCTGCACCTCCCATCCCGCGAATGAATGACAGGCCTCAGCCCTCCGCGGCCGTCTCCCAAAGGTGTGCTGAGTGTGTCTGCGTGACTCGTCACACCTCCTGCTCATGACTGCTGCGTGTTTGGGCCTGCTGGCTAACTCGGTGGCAGATCGGAGCGCTCTCTGGAACCCTCCGTTCACACGTGATTTGGTCTCACTGTAACCCAGCTCGGTGGGGTCGGGGATGGGGTGGGGGGGTCTTGGGGAGTGGGAGGGACACTCTGCCCACCCGTCTTGCCCTGAAGCCCGTCTCCATCTGGCCTGGCCAGTTGTGCAAACTCCTGGTCCAGGAAGCGTCTGCTCTCGGCCACATCTGGCGGGCACGTCCACCCGCCCCGGGCCTGGCACCCCAGGCCCAAGGCTGCTGCTGTGCTGCCCGCACTTCCCTCGTTCCTCCTGGCTCAAGTCCCCTGCCCGCTCTGAGGGTGTGGAGTGGGCACTCCTGGCCACCACCCCCTCCACTGGCCGCTGCTGGCTCGGGCTGTCCACTCCCGTGCCAAGCCCTCCCGAGTTCTCACCCTCCGCGCAGAGGGCAGTTCTGCCCTGGCACCGGGGCCCGCCCATGGCCCCTACAGCTGGCTGCCCTGACAGCCTGTGTTGGCCGAGCCCGGCGGAGAAGCACATAGAATGTTCCAGAAGTTACCGCCTGTGGCCCGCCACTGGGTTAGATGGGTTAGAAAGCGGGTTTTGATCAGGTTAGAGCAGAGCTTCCCAAACTTCGACCTACTGGTGCCTTTTCAGAAAAAAAAAAGTGTTCTTGGGGACTCCCCAAATCTCCCTTCTTTCAGCAAACAGGCGGAAAGAGTACTGGGCCGCTCTCTGCTGGGTCTGACCATCCAGCGCGCCCATCCCAACCCTGTGTCCGCATCCTCCCGTGCCCCCGGCCCTCTCTCTGGGCTCTGCCCAGCTGGGCGCGAGGCGCAAATGTTGTGTGCGGGCTGGTTCCGCTGGGCATCACGGGCCCTGGACTCGGCTGCTGTTGGTGCATTCACCTCTTCCGGTCGCTCCCCTCTGGCCACCCGCCCTGGACCTGCTGGTCCTCCTGGATCCTTCAGGAAATCTCACGACAGAATAGCAGGCCGGGTGCGTGCCTTGCATGCAGCCAGCCCGGGGTTGATCCCTGGCACACCGTATGATGCCCTGTGCCCCGCCAGGAGGAATTCCTGAGTGCAGAGCCAGGAGTGACCCTGAGCATCACCAGGTGTGACCCAAAAAGACAAAGAAAGAAAGAAACAGAGGGGACACTTTCCAAGCTTCAACAGAAGTCCCTGCTGGCCCTGCCTCAGCCTGGTCCCGGGTTCTTGCCACTGGCTACGTGTGGGCTCTCTGTGTCCGGCTCTGCATCTCTGCCTCTGTCCTCGGGAGAAGCTGGGCATTGCGCCGTATTTCCCCCCCTCCCGCCATGTCTCTTTCTGTCCCATGGAGATGGGGGTGGTTCTCCCAAGGCAATTTTTCAGCGATGTGTTTTCCCCACGAATTGTTAAGCTGTTTCTTCCCTAGCGGGGCCGGGGCGCTCTCCGCAGACGCACAGTCTTGGACACCCTCCTCTCCTCTCGCCCTTAGAAAACCATGAGGCCACAGCTCTGTGGCTCTAGCAAAGGCCAGTTTGTGTTTCCCACCCCGTCCAGGTGCCACCAAGCCAGCCACTTCCCCAGGGCTGCTCTGAACTCTCTGGGTCTTCACGGCTGCTGGCCATGGAGCCCAGCACGAAGGCCTCACCCCAAGCTGGTCTTTGGGGGCCAGGTCAGTCCGTCTCTTTACAGCCCTCATGTTCTCCCCAGGAGTAAGCAGGCTGTCCTGGAACGGGCAGCGGTGGACTGGGAGTTGGGGCAGGAAGTGCCTGCCTGGGCCACTGTGTTTGCTGAAAGTATAGCCAGACAAACGAGTCACATAGAGGAAGAGTTTTAAGGACACTGAAACTTTGGTGGGGTGGGTCTCAGGCTTACTCGGGGCCTCGGGGCTGCTCCTGGTGATGCCCAGCCATCAGATGGTCACTAGTAGGTGCAGCAGCTGAGACCCTCAGTGCTGGGTCCCTAGGTCCTCCCCCTACAGTGCTCAGGAGCCTCCAGGGCCACACCTGGCCCATCTCAGGGGCCAATGTGCTGCCCAGGGTCACACTGGGCCCTCAGCTCTCTCTCTGGGCTCTGCCTCCCCTGGGAGCCCGGCGCCGGGTGGGGCCGTGTGCGGGCTCGTTCCTGCCCCCACTGGACCATATTTCCCAGAAATATGCTGGGAAGATGTACCGGCCTGAAGCTCGGTGCCAGACACGACCGTCGCGCCCCATGAGCGAGTCCTGGCGTTTGCTGAGTTCTCAGAGCTGGCGGTGCCGTGAGGCATCACTGTCTCTGCACTCGGCAGACTGCTTTCCTCCTGAGAGTGGTGAGCTCGGGGAAAGCGCTTGAAGAATCACCCCCCGACACACATGTACACATTTGTACATCCCGTGTGGCCAGGGAAAGCGCTCTGAAAAATTACCCTCCCCCACATGTACACATATGTATATCCCATGTGTTCAGGGAAAGCGCTCTGAAAAATCACCCCCCCCCCACACACACACATGCACACATGCACATCCTGTGTGTTCAGGGAAAATGCTCTGAAAAATCACCCCCCCCCCCCACACACGTATACATATGCACATCCCCTGTGCTCAGAGAAAGCACTCTGAAAAATGACCTCTCCCCGCATGTACACATACGTATATTCCATGTGTTCAGGGAAAATGCTCTGAAAAATCACCCCACACACACACGTACACTTATGTACATCCTGTGTGCTCAGGGAAAGCACTCTGAAAAATTACCCCCCGACATGTACACATACGTGTATCCCACGTGTTCTGAAAATCACCCATCCATACACACACACACACACACACACACACACACACGCATACACATATGCATATCCTGTGTGCTCAGGGAAAGTGCTCTGAAAAATCACCCCCATGCACTTGTGTCCAGCTCTTGCTAGAGGCAAGATTCTGGGCAACCTTGATTTATTTTTTGTCCTCTCCATGAATGCGAAAGGGTAACTTGCACAAATAATCAAGAAAAAGTCAATAGATTTGTTTCATCCCAGCGCCATTTAAATGGTGGCGGGGCAGAGGCGGGTTTCAGTACGGGCTGGGGGGGGTCCCGCTTTTTCCATATCTTGTGCTTCTCGTGCTCCCGGGAGGACTGTAGAGTCCTAGAGCTGTCGCCCGCACGTGCGAGACCGAGCGTGATCCTGCCCGTCACAGAACCTGCATGGTCCCGAGAATCCCTGGGGGTCCCCTTGCTGCACCCAGATGGGGCCCCCTTAGACCGCAGCCAGCACTGACTTGGTTCCGCTCAGGCTCAGATCAGGCTGGTACAGCTGCTTCGGTTAAGAACCGTTTCTTTTTCCCCAACAAAAATATTTGGGAAAACCAAGACCTTTGTTTCCGCTCGCCTGACAGCTGGTGCGTCTCTGCAGTCGGCTGCGTCTTGCCCTTGGTTGGACCAAGGAAAGTGGCCGAGCACCTGGACACGGTGGGCAGCATGGGGCCAAGCAGCTCCCTCCGAGGCCAAGGGATCCAGCTGAGGAGCGAGTTGAGGGGTCCTTCCTACACCCCCTCTCTGCCCTTCCCTCCCTTCCTACCGGGGCGCAGGACGTGGAGCGCCTCTCACTGGGCTCCCTTTCCTCTGCTCTGCTCTGGGAGGGGCCCAGCCATGTGACGGCCACCAGCTTAGCATCCAGACCAGGGCATGGGCCGCCAGGAGAGAGAGGTCAGGACAGTGATGGGAGACGAGGACATCGTCGGGGGGTTGGAAGAAGCCTGCCTCGTGCGTCAGTGCCAGGCGAAGGAGCCAGGAAGTGGAGGAAGTGGGCGTCGCGCTTTCGGGGAGGGACCCTGCGGGACAGTCAGGGCTGGACTTGAGTGGAGCGAGGACGCTGACCCCCAGGCACGGGCGGGACTCCAGCCACCTTTCTCTCGCTCTGATTTTTCCCTCTTTCCTTTTGAGCAGCACCCTGGTGGGGAAGAAGTCTTGCGGGAACAGGCCGGTGGTGACGCCACGGAGAACTTCGAGGATGTCGGACACTCAACAGATGCCCGAGAACTGTCCAAGACGTACATCATCGGGGAGCTGCACCCGGTAGGTGCTGGGTGCGCCTCTCCCGCTTCGTGGGCGGCTCTGGATGGCCTCGCTCTGGACCTGATAGTTCACGTTTGACAAGGAGTAAAGCAAGAGGTGTTTTCTGGTTCTTCCGTAGAAGGCCCCAGGCCAGAAACAAAGGACTGTCTTTTCTTTGCATTTGCCTCGTGGGGTGGGGGCGGGGGCGTTGTCAGACCCTCAGAGTCCTGAGCCTACGGTCCTGCCCTGGCTGCAGAGTGTTGTGGTCAAGTTTTGTGGAGCAGCGGGTTCTGGAAAGGGGTGTGTGTGTGTGTGTCTGTGTGTGTGTGTCTGTGAGTGTTTTGTATGTGTATAAGTGTGTATGTGAGAGAGAGTGTGTGTGAGTGTAAGTGTGTGTGTATGAGAGAGTGAGTGTGTGTATGTGTGTGTGTCTGTGAGTGTTTTGTATGTGTATAAGTATGTGTGAGAGTGTGTGTGTGTGTGTGTGAGAGAGTGTGTGTGAGTGTGTGTGTGAGTGTGTGTATGAGAGAGTGAGTGTGTGTATGTGTGTGTGTCTGTGAGTGTTTTGTATGTGTATAAGTGTGTGAGTGTGTGTGAGTGTGTGTGTGTGAGAGAGAGTGTGTGTGAGTGTGTGTGTGAGTGTGTGTATGAGAGAGTGAGTGTGTGTGTGTCTGTGAGTGTTTTGTATGTGTATAAGTGTGTGTGTGAGAGAGTGTGTGTGAGTGTGTGTGTGTATGAGAGAGTGAGTGTGTGTATGTGTGTGTCTGTGAGTGTTTTGTATGTGTATAAGTGTGTGTGAGAGTGTGTGTGAGTGTGTGTGTGTGAGAGAGAGAGAGAGAGAGAGTGTGTGTGTGTGTGTGTGTGTTTGTATGTTTGGGGGAGGGGTCCATTCAGCCAGCGTAGGTCTCGGTATATTTTCCCCTGTTTGCACCGGAGTGAGTTTCTTCGCTTTCCTTCTGCTTCCGTCCCTTTGAGGCTACTTTGGTTCAGGTGCAAGAGGCAGCGGCGTTCAGCGCCTCCGTTCTGCCCCTGCAGACCCACACGTTCTCCTCACTCTTTGCCAGCCCCGAGAACTCCTCTGTGACCCCGGGCCACGCTGACTCTCAGCAAACACAGGCTGCATTGAGCTTCTCACAGAGCCCAGGTCTGCACATAAAGTCGGGCCTTTCTGTGACTGTGTGGTTGTTCCGCTGCCCTGCCTGTCCACTGAGGTCAGCGGGATGGGCAGCTGGGGACGCAGCGTTCCCGCAGCTGCGGGCACTCGTTCCTCCCCTTGACCCCAGGGGCCTGTCCTCACACCCAGCACCTCCTGCTGGCACCGCCCCAGCAGCCGGCCTTGGCGCTTCCAGACACACATTCAGTAACAGGGAAACCAGGCAGCTTGCCTTGACCCCACAGAGCACCAAAGTCGGTGGGAAGACCCGCCCCAGCCCCAACTCGCGGGGGCTCTGGGCCAGGCCGGGGGCGGGGAGGGAGGGGGCGCCTGGTCCGCGCCCATTTGCATGGCACGGGGAGGTGTTTAGGGGTGGTGGAAGGTGGTGCCTTGGGAGAGTTGGACCCCAGATCCTTCTTCCTGGCCCACCCTGAAGTGCTCCAGGCTGTCTGAGGCTTGCCCTGCCGAGCCTTCGCAGGGCAGTGTGTATCCGTGTGCACAAGAACCTCAAAATGATGTGCGTGCCATTGATAAAACATGCATGTTTGTTTACATACACAGAACAGAGGCATGTCTGTGCGTACACTGAGACACCCCGAGCTGTTTGTGTACTGCATATCCCATGTACGGATAGATGTGTGACATCCATGAGTAGATCATGCTCTCCAGGGGAGGGCAGAGCATACTCGGATCGTGACTGCTCCCCGAATTAGCTCGAGTGCCACAAGGACACGCACTGTCCCGTGAATGTGACCTTTGGGAAGTGTCACCGGCCACTAAGGTCGCAGTCAAGGCGCATGGATCAAGCTCGCTGTTTAAACACCCCAGCGTCCACCCCCGGCCCCGCAAGTGTTGGTCCCTAGTAGGAACGCTTTGGGGAATCTTTGGTTACAGGGGCGGAGGGTTATTGGCAGAGGGGTTTTCCATCAGTGACATGCTTTCTTTTCTCTGTCTTGCAGGACGACAGGTCCAAGATAGCCAAGCCCGCGGTAAGTGTGACCAGCTCCGTGCCCCTTTGTTCTTCCGTGCTCTCGGCTGGAAAGCAGCCATCCTCTGTGCTCCCGACCAGGGCTCCCACGCCTGGGTGAGGTGGCCGTGTGGCTCCGTAGGCTCGTGCTTGCCTGTCCACCCGCCGTGATGTTCTCTTCAAGGGAGCCCGTGGGTCTCCTCAGAGGACTCCAGCAGACAATGTGATTCTTCACCCTAATTAACTCCTTGGAAGCGCCTCTTTGTGGAATTAGCCCTGTGCTTCCCCAACCGAAGGGTTTGGCCTGGGCGGAGACCTTATTTATTTATTTATTTATTTATTCATTCATTTATTTTTGCCTTTTTGAGTCACATCCAGTGATGATGCATGGGGTTTACTCCTGGCTCGTTCACTCAGGAATTACTCCTGGTGGTGCTCGGGGGACCATATGGGATGCTGGGAATCGAACCCGGGTTGGCCGCGTGCAAGGCAAATGCCCCACCCACTGTGCTACGGCTCTAGCCACCTGAGACCTTATTTTTAAAGACTGAAAGTCGGCTTCAGCACACCCCATGCCTTCCTCAGCAGTTCGTCAGCTCTGGGATTTAGATATATTATAAATTTTTAAGGTGAAATTTAATTTTAATGAAGTGAGATAATTTTCGAGACTTTTCTTCCTAGGAAGGGAAACTATTCCCAGGAATATGAATTTTAGGCTGGTTCCCCGGCCCTTCTCTCCAAGCTGGTCAGTTTGGTTTACTTGAGTGTGATTCCAGAGTGAGAATTGGAGGCAGTATTCCAAGTTCCTCCGAAGTCCAAGCAGGCAGCCTGATTAAAGGACTCGGGAAAGTTTGACTTATACCAAGCGGGGAGAAAGCTTTTGCACTCTTCGTTCTGTTTTTGTTTTGGGGGCCGCAGCCCGTGGGACTCTGCGCTCATTTACTCCTGGCTCTGGAATCAGAGATTGCTCCTGGCAGGGCTCCAGGGACCTTACGTGGTTCTGGCCAGAAAGGCCAGTGTGCCGGGCCAGTGCCCTGCCCCGTGCTCTCCCTGGCCCTAGGGAGCTGCATGCTGGAGCCCACTTGGACCCCTCCGAGCATGTTCTTCCGCATCAGAGTGGTAACCCAGACTGGCTTTACCTCAAGCATCTCTGAATTAAGAGCCTTCCAGACAAGGAGCACTTAAAAATGGAGTTTGTGTGTGGGTGTGTGTGTGTGAACGCATCTGTCTTAAGACTCAGTTCCTTGGAAGGTCACCGGTATGAAGTGGTGCTGGTGGCTTCACGTGAGTGCTCACGGCGCCGGTGCCGTTTCCCTGAAGTGCTGCCCGCGTTTGGTCCACAAGGCCGGCTCACGCGCAGGTCCCGTTGGCTCTGCTCACCCTGGGCAGCACGAGGTCCTATTCCACAGCCACTGGGCGGCATCTTCACGCTCAGAGCCGTGTCGTCCCGCTCATTGCTCACTGTCTGTTTGCATGTCTAGATATTTCTGCTCACCCTTGTTAATCCTATTCAGTCTACAAAATTCGAGAACAAGTCCTGCAGTGCTCGGACTACGTTTTGTGGTTTCCTAAGATTTAACAGGTCGTGTGCCGTTTGTTGCTTTCAAAGTGTTTACTTGAATTGCTTTTAAAAATGTTTAAGTGTTTTCCTTTTGAAAATAATTTATTTTTCCCCCTACTGTGTCAGGAATCTTAAAGGCCATGTTTGAAAGGTTGGTGGGTCTCTTCACTGCTTTTCTTGCCGTTTCCGCTGAGATTTCTGCCTTTTCCGCTGAGATTTCTGCCTTTCCCCCCAGAAGTTTCTGCTTGCTGAGTGCGGCTTTGCTTCCTTGCTGACTGCCGGTGTTTTGCTGATGCCTTTCTTTTCTGATGCCCGTGGGGGTTCCAGAAGTGGATTCTGATGAAGCTGGCTTATTTATGGCTTCCTTGACACACTAATACTTTGGCTGGTGTGAATACTAAAAGAAAAGCTTCTTAACACAGTTTCGGCTTCCAACGTTTGTGATTGATGAGGCTTTGGCTGTTCGGGGAAGTTGGGATTTCCCCAGAGCCAGCCTCAGTTCTCTTTCCAGATGAAATTTTTCAAACCATTTTTTAAAAACTCACAAGGAGACCTTCTAGAAAGTTCTGGAAGGAATAGCATGCCCTCACCATGGAAGAGCCTCTGCTCAGCCTCATTGGAAGTTTCCTACGGATGACAGTGTGGACAGTCAGCATCTTCCAGAACTGTCCTGTCCGCTGGGAGGTCAGAGGGCAGCTCCGAATGCCCAGGGAACAGTTCCCCTTTCTCTCTGTTGGGCTGACACAACCTTTCAGTGATGAGAATAACTGATGTTTAGTGACATCGGTTGAGGCCTTTGGGGAACCCAGCTGCCCCAACACAGCAGCAAGGTCCTTTCCGTCCCCCTGGTGAGGCCTGAATGACAGTGCGGGTGTTTGATGCACCTTGTGGACCTTCCGTGAGGCTCTCCACATGGTTATGTTGCTCATCATTTAAACATAGATAAACCCTTTATCCCCCACTCAGAACATATTATTTAATTTTTTTTCTAAGATGTTTTTGGTGCTTGGGTTGTACCCGGTGGCTTACCACGCCTGGTGGTGCTCAGGGGGCCCTATGGGGTGCTGGGGATGGGCCGGGCCTCTTGCACGCAAAGCCAGCGCCGAGCCTGCTGTGCCGTCTCTCCGGCCTGACCAGGCATTTCAGTGAAGAGACATTTTTCCTGAACTTCTCCCTCGCTCCGTGTGTGCAGAAGGCATTGGGTGAGGCGGTGAACAGGGGCTAAGGGTGACCGTCCAAGTGTTCCCGGTAACGGCCGACACTTTCTCTTGTGTTCCAGGAATCTCTCATCACTACTGTGGAATCGAGTTCCAGGTACGTGGGGCTTTCGCTGAGGAGCTGAGGGGCCTGTGGCCACAGGGTGAGGTACTGGGGCTTCTTCTCCAATGGATGGCGCCTTAAAGGTGCTCAGGTCCCTCGGAGTGGCACCCTCGGGGTCCTCTCCACTCCACCCTGAGCCACTGTGGGTGCTCCTCGGAGTGCCTCCCCGTCTCCCACTGTCTGTCCTCGTGTGACGCCCAGCTGTGGCCTTAGCGTAGTGAGCGTGCCTCCCCGAGCATGGCTCACTTTTCCTTTGTGCCTTCTGTACGTTGGCCCTAACGTTGAACCCAGTAATTAGATGTACCCAGTTTCAGGATTTCTTTACCAGAGTTCGGGATCACGTTCGCACTCTTGGCATCTCTACCACATGGATTTGTATAGTTGCCATCACATTTCCCCCCCTTTTTTTGGACCCACACGTCTTAGCTGATTTTATTTCACCATCAGATTTTTCTGCCCCTCCCCCCACCCCCAGCCCAGCCTGCACACGGCACCACCCCACCCTGTGTTTTATCTGGACCTCTGTGTGGAAACGGAAAACCCCACGATGCAAATGACACCCGCGATCCTTTTGGAGCTTAAAGCCTCCCGTTGAACTTGATCTCTGAAAGGGGCAGGTGTGTCTGCGCAGGTCTTAGAGGATCAGAGGTTCCTGGCGATCCGCAGATGTGGGGTGAGCAGGGCCTGGCCTCGTTCACGTTCTGGGCCGTGCAACCTTCGTTTCCGTGACCTTAGGAGTGAGGGCCCAGCCCTGCAGGAAGCACTCGCCAGCTGCACCCCTGCGTGGTCCAGACCCTCATGCGTGAAGAAGTGTTTGCACCGTTGCACTCACTGACTCTGCAGAGCCGCATCCCAGGGTGTGGGACCCGGCAGCCCCGGCCCCGAGTGACCATGGCGTCCAGACCCCTGTGACTCCTGCCTGCAGGGTGGGCAGCGGCCCTGTGAGAGGGAGACCCTGTGATTCTAAGCCTCCCGGAGCGGGCTGGCATGGGTCCGAGCGACTCCACCCTCCTTGGTGCCCTCTGGTCTGGAGACACCGGCTCAGGGGCAGAGAAGGTGGCACCCAGGGTCCCGCGTGCTCATGTGTTTCCTCGACGGCTCCGGAGATAGGCGCCAGCTGGCCCTCAGCCCGCCCCCGGCCCCTCAGCAGCTCCGAGCGGCTTCCTGTCCCCCGTGGGTGAGCGGGCCACACACAGGCTGCGGGGTGGCCGCCCTCACCGGCCCTTGTGTCTCCCCTGCAGCTGGTGGTCCAACTGGGTGATCCCGGCCGTCTCGGCGCTGGCCGTCGCGCTGCTGTATCGCATGTACCTGTCTGAAGAGTAGCCGGTCTCCGGGCCCGAGAGCGAAGCCGGCTCCAGGCGCGGCGCGGGGAGCCCGAGTGAGCCTTCCCCGGAGTGACCTGACGCCGCGTCCTCCCGCCCCGTGCTGCAGACCAGCCAGCCCCGAAGAACTGTCCCCGCCCATCCTCAGCGCTGCCGTGTGCCTTGTCACGCCCCACTTTTAGGGTGGCCTTTGGAAAGAATACACCTGGCTTTTCAGTAGCCCGTGTGCTGCGTGCGGGTCTCGGTGGTCTTTGTTCGGCGTCTCGCCCGTGTCTGATGGTCCCACCCCTGGCGCTGGGCCCTGAGCTCTGGGTGTCCGTGGCCCCCATTGTGCTGCCTCCTCTGGGGCTGAGAAACCCTCCGGGGCACCTTCCAGTGAAGGAAACCAAGGAAGACCCCCAAGACCCCCATAGAGGGCGCTGAGCAGATAAGAGCCGGAGCACCCGGGGAGACCCCGCCTCTTCTCTGTTGGTTCACTGGGGGACGCTGCCCTGCCGGGGATTGAACCGGGGTTGGCCGTGTGCGGGGCGAGCGCCTTGCCCCTGGACGGTCTGCCCGGCAATTGCAGAGTACAGCAGCAGCAGCAATTGTCCAGCGCCAGGGGTGGGCTCACTACCACCCCCTCTCCCCACTCCTGGAAATCTCATCCCTGAGTGCTCGGAAGTCAGTCTGAGAGGGAGGGGTGTCAGGGATCTAGGTGAGAGGCCTGGAGCTGTTTGGTGAGGAATGGGATGGGTGAGTGCTCTTGGGAGCTGTTTGGTGAGGAGTGGGGTGGGTGAGTGCTCCTGGGAGCAGTTTGGTGGGGAGCAGGGTGGGTGAGTGCTCCTGGGAGCAATTTGGTGAGAGGCAGGGTTAGTTGAGTGCTCCCGGGAGCTGTTTGGTGAGGAGCAGAGTGGGTGAGTGCCTCCGGGACTGTTTGGTGAGAGGCCGGGCTGGGTGAGTGCTCCCGGGAGCTGGCTTGCTCATTCCTCCTCCCACGTTCTTTCCCGCATGGTCTGGAGGGAGCCCCTGAGCCTCTGAGCGGTGAGGCCGGCCAGCACGTTTTGGGGGTGCTGAATCACCGTGCAGTGGATGCAGTGCGTGTGTCGTATGTGGGAGGCCGGGCTCCATCCCAGCCCTGCACGGTCCCCTAGCAACCCCTCAGCACAGCTGAGCACTGTTCCACGGGGCCCAGACCTCTCCTCCCCTAGGTGAAACAGGAGGCCTGCGAGTCCTTTGGGAAGTGAAGTCCTGTGTTGCCTGACTGTGCAGGATCGAGGGGCCCCTCGTGCAGGGTTGAGGAGCACCTCGCAGGTCCTGGACGCCGTGTCGCTGCCCTGAGCAGCCAGTTCAGAGGCTCAAGCTCACTCGCGTGGCCTGGCGCCAGTTTCCGCGGATCTGGGGTCGCCTTGCTGAGTCCCGGGGGTGGGCGTGAGCTACCTGCAGTTGCCCCTTGCCGGGACTCTTAAGAGGTGCGGGCCGGGGGGGGCGGGGGGGCTGGCTGGGCAGCGGTAGTCCGAGGGGCGGGAGCAGTGAGCTCGTCGTGGCCACGGGGGCCCAGAGGACGTTTCCTGCAGGGGGAGCCAGGGCAGAGTTGTTGTGTTTCTCGCAGCCGCGGCCCTGGTGTCCCGTCTAACGGCCCATCCGCACCCCGAGCACTGTCAGGGGCCAGCGGCCCGGGGAGGAGTCAGAGCTGGAGCCGGGGCTCGCGGCCTCAGTCCTTTCAGTGAGTGACCGGCTGGTTTGGAGGCCCTGGAAACGTCCGGCTTGAGAGCCTCAGCCTTGGGCGCTGCGAGAAACCTTTCCCCCAACCAAGGGCTCTCTTGTCCCAAGTGCTGACGAGCCTCATTTGCAGATTCTTATTTTGGAGGGTTTTGGCGGGGGGTGGGGGGTGTTGGATCTACACCCGGTGGTAATCGGGGATCACTCCTGGCTCAGGGATCACTCCCGGCGGTGCCCGGGGACTGTAGCGGGCACCAGGCATCGAACCTGGGTCAGGTATGTGCAGGGCCATGATGTGTGGATGTTGAAGGCGCTCGTCAGTGCCTGCTCTCTTCCTTCTGGCCGTGGGCTGGGGGACAAACGGTGCAGCTTGTGGCTCCCTGGGGGGTCACGGGGACAGGCGGGGACAGCCACCAGCCCCTGCCCCAGCCATGCCCGTGGCAACACAGACGACTGTTCCAGAGACCTTCCCGGACATCTTCAGACAGGAGGGTGCTTGTGGGTGCTGAAGTTCCAGTCCTCAGCCCCTCCCTGAAGCTGACCTCTGGGGCTGACCTCCAGGGCTGCCCCTACTGCGGACAAGTCCCTGTCCCCACCACTGAAGGCGCAGACACAAGACACGTGGGTCTCACACCACCTGGCACGTTTTCCGGGAAGAAAGACACAGCACATGGGTCAGCAGAGAGAAGCAACCGTAGGGAGGGGGTCCCAGATGGACGCCAAGCAGGGGGGTCCCAGACAGATACCAGGAGGGGGTCCCAGATGGATGCCGGCTAGGGGGCCCCAGACAGATACTGGGGAGGGGGTCCCAGATGGGCGCTGCAGGGGGGAGGCCGTGATTTCCCCCTTCTTGATTTCTGACTAACACAGCGTGTTTTCATCTTCCCAGGAAGCTTCGATGTGGCAACTTTAACTTTGGGGTCTTCTTGCCCCTTAGGCAGGAGCAGCCGCTCAGAGCTGCCTTCAACTGGTGTCCGTCTGCCCCCTGGGCGAGAGTCAGCGTGTGGGTGATACAAGTCTGAGCCGGCTTCTGGGCTCTGTGTGTGTGTGAGGGCTGCTAGTTCTCTTACTTTAACCTGGCCCTTCTCCCCTGCCCCCCTACGAGTGGCCCCCTGCCCCTCAGGGTGCTGGGAAACCCCACAGGGTCTCAGCTGGGGAGAAACCCCACTTTCCGCACCCCCGTCTCGAGTCCCGCAGCCCGGGAACCCATGCGTCAGCAGGAAGGGTTGTAGGGAGGTGGTCACTCCGCTACTGGCCCTCAGAGCGGTCAAGGTGGACAGCAAGGGCTGAGGTCGCATGGCCGGACTCCGAAACGACTTCAGGGTGAGAGGAAAGCGAAAGGGCAGAGGAGAGTCTCCGGAAGAAGGTTCTGGAAAGGCAGTGGCGAGCGTTGCTTTGTGCAGGCTGGGATGACCGTCTGCCGGAAGCCAGTGGGCAGGACCCGGGCCATCCGGGACCCGCCAAGGCTCCCCCCACTGCCATGACCACATGTCCCTTTCTTAAGGGCCACAGGCACATTCACGGGAGCCGGTCACCCAGTGCCTGTGTCCCACTGCCCTGCCCTGTGACTGGACCTGTCTAGCAGTTTCCCGAGTGCCGGGTGGGTGGGCGGGCGGAGACCCCAGCAGCCCACCCTGTCTTCCTGGCTCTGGGCAGGCAGCTCCGGCCCGTGTGTTTTTCTCCTGCTCTGCACAGGTCCTGGGGAGAGAAGTGTGAGTGTGTCACCCTCCCTCCCCCCTCAGAAAAGTCCGGGACGAGACCGGCCGTGACGTTTCTGCCTGAGCAGGGCACCCATTCCCCAGAGGGCAGCACCCACGTGCTCTGAGGGGGAGAAGTCCAGTCTTTGATCCGTTTATCAAAGAAGCCGTCCTGGCCCTGACCGGGGGTGGGCCGTCAGAAACGTTCCCGTCACAGCTGGCATCTCTTTCCAGAACCTTCTGTGATGTTGCCCTCCCTGCCCAGGACACCCTCATCCTCCACAGCAGGGCTGGAGGCCACTCTGGCTCGCCATGTGCACTCTCCAGCAGAGAGCCGGCCGGGGGGAGGCGGCCAGCAGGCTGGGCCAGTGGAGGCCTCCAGATGGACTTGGCTCTCCAGAGTGGGGGAGGGGCTGGCTCCGGAATGGGGCGTCGGTGAGACAGGACAGAGGGTCAGAAGGCCCTTGCCTGTGTGCACCTGCGCGGCTCACGTGGTCTCCCGGGCCCCACTGGGAGTGGCCCCCGAAACAAGAGGGGAAGGGGGACTGGGGAAGTCCTCAGGGGTAGCCAGCTCGGCCCAGCCCCACCAGGCAGAGATGAGCCTGGACGGCCCAGAGGCCTCGGGCCCGCGGCAGGAGCCCAGGCAGGAGCCTTTGAGAGGCAGATTTATTTCCAGGCAGGCCCTGCCCACGGGGCCACACCAGGCGTCAGTCACAGACCCTGGACAGCCCAGCTCCTTCCTCGGCAGCCCCCGCCACGGACATGGAGGGCAGCGTGGAGCCGCGGCCGCACTCGCTAGCTCGGGCAGGGCAACGCCTTCCCCTGCTTGAACCGTGGCTGCGACCCCGACGGGGATGTGGACATGCGTGGCTTGGACACACACTCTTTGTCCCAGGGACTTGGCTCTCCCCACTGCAGCGAGAAACCCCCTTGCAACCCCCCAAACATCCATCAAACTTCACGTTCTCCTGGAATTCTTCCCTGTGAGCGAAGGCAGCGAACAGACCTGGAAAATCTGGGCCGAATCGAGGGCTGACTTCCCCGCAGCCACTTCTGGCCCCAGGTGGGGCTGCACGGTGCCCGGGAAACGGGTGTCAGGGACCGTCGCCCGGGGACAGGTGCGATTTGACGACCACCTTACGGGGCTTGTGAGACTCGAGGTCAGTCCCGTGCAGCTGCCCAGAGCCGACCCCCCCACCCGTCACCCCTGTCCCCCACCACCACCCCCGCGGGACTCCCTCTCTAGACACTGCCTCTCTCTGCACTTGGCCTGAGTCACGGCTGATGTAGCCCGTCCGGGAGAACTCATGCTCCCCCTTGGGACGTTGGTGTTTAGTGGGTGAGACCTGAGTCTGGGGAAATGTGGCCACGAGCAGAGCAGCTCAGTGACCGCCAACTGGGCAGGAGCCCCGAGCCTGCCCCAGCCCGGACCCGCGCCTGCCTGGCTGTGCCCACTTAGTGGTGCCTTATCTGCCCACACCTGGTGCCGGCTACTATCAGGGCTCTGCTCTGGGAGGACAGAGAGAAGGACAGCGTCATCCTCCCGCCCTCCGCCCCATGCCACTGGCCGTCCTCGGTTTTCCTGGGCAAGGAGGTGGGGGCAGGTTTGTCGCCCCGAAGCCCAGCCAGTCCTGAGGAAGTTCAGAAAGTCCAGGGTAAGGCAGCTCAGACGGAGAAGGGAGCACCAAGTAAAGGGTGTTGGGAGGATCCTCCCAGGATGGGAGACGCATGCTGAAAGTAGACTATAGACCAAACATGATTGTCACCCATTGCCTCTTTTGCAGACCACAGGACCCAAAAGGAGAGAGAGAACAAAAGGGA